AAAAAAAAAAAGAAAAAAACGAAAAAGAATGGAAGGAAGAAGAGGAGAGACAGTGAGGGGAGAGACGTACCTGACGTCGGGATCCTTGCAACCTCGCGCAGCGGACACGCGGCTAAACAGTATCTTGGCTAGATTGTCGATCTTGTTGGTCAATTGGTAGCTCTTCTCTTCGTCGCTGTCCTCATCCTCGATGCTGGCGCTCCTTCCCCTGCGAAGAGTGCCTCGGGCGGAGACTATAGCCTCGGAGTCGAGCTCGATGGCGCTCTGAGTCCTTCGATTCACGGCACGACGTTTCCGGCGTGTCCTCGGACGTTCCTGCCAGAACCTGTCATGGCCAGTCACGTCCGGCTCCTTGTGTTCCTCGTCCCTTTTGTTCAAATTTTGGTAAAGATTGAACATCTCCAATCTTTTCTGGCGGACGCACGATGTTCGTGATTTCACTCGCTCGTCGCTGCAAACGATATAAATACAAACAATCTTTATTCTATTCTACAGTTTTTACTCTCCTCTCCTTTGGCATCGTCTCTCCACGACGGATGGAATTAAATGCTCCGTTTCACGCTTCTTCCATTTGCCATGAATTTGTCGTCCGACGAACACAACGTGCTTTCGTATCATTCACATTGGTGAATCTGTTGCATTGCCTCTTGAACGACGTTGAACGACGTTGCGTGTGGTTGTTTCACGTTGATTACCACCGTGTCGCCGTCCCGCGATTTCATTTTATTCCGCGCCGTTGACTTTCAACGTGTTATTTTTTAACAGCGCATTGCGTGTACGCGTGGACGAATTGTCTCTCTGAAGCGAGACAGATGAAGAGAATTACATACAAGCTGTAGAAACTTGGCGGAGTGCTCGTTGTAAATCGGGTGGCAATAACAAGTAACAACAAGGCTAGATGTAAAGGAGCGCGCGGTACTACACTGCGATCAGAAACCAAGCGAGTGTATCCCACCACCACCTAGCGAGAAGGACGGCCGAATACTGAGTATTGGGTAGAGCCTCGTGCTAGTTTAGATCTCCCCAGGCTGACACAGATTCGCTGGCCCAGCTGATTTTCACCTCGATCGCTGGTAACTGCGCGTTTCTGTCCCTCTTCGCCGATAGAAACCGCTCCCTGTTCAAACACGTACCAATAGTATCATTCTTTCTTTTCCAAATATATCAAATATGATATTCTTCGCCATTTGTTACCGAACTTTCTGTCATTTTATTTTATTATATTTCAAACTCAAACTCTCACACTTTCACCCTTTTCTTTTATGCCTTTCTCTCGCGTCACGTCCAAAATCCATTCCGACATAAAAATCACGGTGTGTTTGTGTTTG